GTTATCTAACCATATAATTTAGAATCACCTAAATTGGCCTTATAAATTGAGAGATAAGACCAAAATGGTACAACCTATGCAGGTTGGAAACCAACAGCTGGGCAGACTGGAAGTTGCTACTTTAATTCAATATTTGACTACTTTACCAACATATTTCAGAGAGGTTTTAGAAGCCATATTTGTACCCTAATATGTTAGCTAACCATATAATTTCGAATCACCTAAATTGGCCTTATAAATTGAGAGATATGACCAAAATGGTACATACTGTGTAGGCTGGAAACCAACAGCTGTGCAGACTGGAAGTTGCTACTTTAATTCAATATTTGACTACTTTACCAACATATTTCAGAGACGTGATAGAAGACATATTTGTACCCCAATGTGTTAGCTAACCATAGACTTTAGAATGACCTAAATTGGACTTAAGAAGAAAGAGTTATGCTAGAATTTGTGAAACAATGCTAAGAATTTTGAACAACATGTACAAGCTGCCCCTGACACATTAGAGAATGCTGTTGGAATGCAGTATTTAGACTTCATTCAGCTAAGATTAGTACTTAAAGTTTAAAAGATTAAACATCTTCCTTAATCGATGTTCTAAATTAAGATACATAACAAGATTAGTAAAGGAGTTTTGCGTCCTAGGTGCAACAATTAGATTAATTTCATGCAAGTTCCTTTAGCAAGTTTGCAATTGTTTGCATTATTAGCTCATCTTGATATTAGTTTGTAGTTGTCTATGAATCTTTTAACAGCCATGAAACAGGTTTAGCTGGACGTATAGAATGAGACAGGGCATACAGGTAACAGTAGTGGTTTATTTGCATTTTACGATGGAATAATCAGATAATATTCCACTGAGGTTGGTAGAAAAGTTAGGTAGAAACCACGTAGATAAGGCTATGTCGCGACATAGGATAGCAGATCTGTGTCCCATACAGTTTGGTACTCCGGCTATAGGCCGTTGAGCGGATATGATTTATATACGTGTCATAGCGGCCCAGCCATACAGTATTCATCCAGTTTCATATAGTCCTTCTTATCACTTTGGTTTCACTGTAACCTTATGGAGCCATAAAGTTATGAAATTGTGTTATTTATAAATTATACGATGTTTAATAATAATTGCATAATTCATACAGCATAATGAACACCAGGTAAGACCATGAAAGTATAATGATATGTGTTCTTACATGCTTAATTATTTAATTCTTATTAAGTTGAGATATCCACTGAGCTTTATTTGCTCAGCGAGTTACCTGTTTTAACTCGCAGGTTTTGGGTTTGGACCATAGAGAGGTTTGGACCTAGAGAGCCATCTTTACAATAGAGTCATCTTTACAACTGCTGCAGTTCATTTTTTGAAGACCCAGTCTTCAGGGTAACTACTCATTTTGATATTTTGGTTCTGTGGCATGTACAGGGCACATAGTTGGGCCTCTTTCATTTTGGAAAATAGTGTAATGTCTTGTATATATTAAATAAATGTTTGTATAAAGCAACAGCATCACATAATATTTAGCATACAGGATGATATCAGCATGACAGGACATAGGTTCAACCAGATTATAGCGTCTCGACTCAGTTCATTTGGGTTCACGGGTGGACCAGGAAGGGATGTTACAATTTTTGGTATCAGAGTCTAGTTTAGTTCCCCTGGCTTGAATGCATATGTCATTATAGTGTACATACCATGACTACCCTGATGAACTAAGCAGTTGTTATTCTTCTAGGAGGATGTCCCAGAGTTCTAATGATTCATGAGAAAGATAAGGCTTATTCCAGTTTTCTAACAATCAACTAACCTATTAAAACTTTAGCATTTTCTGGAGAGTATAGAAATGAAGTAAGTGAGTAAAATAGTATCGAAGCAAAAACTTCAGAAATGTAAGAAGATCAACGATAGGTGATTTAGTACGTGGTTTGGCACTAACTCGGCCTAATCCACTTCCAAGATCATTTGAGATTCTCAACTATGTTATCTCTTTTTCAAGGGTAAGAGCCAACACGCAACAGTACAGGAATAGATCAACCTGAGATCTACGCTTTATCGCCCAACTTGATTTTCCAAAGGTTCTAGCTGCATCAACCCTTTCTGTTTTTGGGCAGAGGTATAGAAACTCAATTCAAGACATTATAGAATCTGCTCTAGGAGAGGGTTGCCTTGATAACCTCTTTTCAATACGCGTTTCTCACATACAGCTATTTACAGGCAATCGTTTATCAAATAAAAATTGTCTTTACTAAAGATTACCAGTTAAATCTAAATAGACAGACAGAAATGCAAATATAAGCAAGGGAAACAGTTTATCAGATTAGAAAATCGTTTAGAACACAGAACCGTTTTTCAAAAGTAGTTAATCAAAATTCTTCTCTCTTTAAAGATAAAAATGTGAAGTATAATTATGAAAAGAAAAATGGGGGTAGAGAGTAAGCTTTGAGAGATAAAGGATGTGATCAATAGGTGAATACTCTTAAAACGAAAACTCTTTCTTCCTCATAGTTCAAAGCGTGGAAGTTCCTTTTTATGGAGAGATATGTAGCTCTCGGTTTTGGAAAGAGAATATTTCATTTTGAAATAAGAATATCTTCTTTCCTTATTTAGAAGATACAAAAATCTTAGTTGCCAAAAGTTTATTTTATCGTTTTGGTAAGAGAATAGAAAACGATCTTTCAACATTCTATCTTTTTGGTAAGAAAATAAAATACAATCTTTCTTTCCTTAAAATAAAGAATTTCGAAAGTAAATACTTGAATCAAATATTTTCCGAAAAGATTTTTCTTACTAAAAACGAATTAAAATAAGATCTTCTTTCGTTTTAGGCAAGAAGATAAATCAAGATTCTTAGATCTTCAAAGAAGGTTTTGCTTCCGAAAAAGAAGTGCATAAGATTTCCATTAGATTTATTCTTATTACCAAAATTAATAGAGACATGATCTCTTTAATTTAGGTAATTTGAATATTTCGACTTTTAAAGAGATTTCGAATAACAATTTTTAGCGAAAAGATTTATTTTAAAGAATCTATTTTCGAAAAATAATTTTGATGAGAGAAAAATTAGTTTTTGTGCTTATAATTGAATTTTCTCTCTATTCTACAATGAATCCTAAAAGTCTAAGAATCCTAAAAGTTCCTAACCAACTAGGGTTCCTTTGGATGTCCTTCGTAAATCTTTGATTTGTAGGACTTGCTTTTTCGTTTTTTTACTTTCATATGTATTCTGCATAAATAGTTAAATATTATTAGCACAAATAATATAATTTAAATTTATTTTTTTTGTTTTAATCATCAAAATTCCGAGATTAGAATTTGACCCTTGAGCCAACAGGAGGGAGTTGTTTGAGTTCTTGCTTGGGTAGTTCGCCCTTTTCCTCATCTTTGATGCCTTGAATGTTAATGGTTATGTCACCTTTATCAATGTCCAATTTTTCTTTAACATGCAAGGTGTTTTTTGCACAATCATCAATAACATCAACTCTAAAACAATCACTATAATCCATAGGATACTTACAATCTTTAAGAACATTAGAAACAACCTCCTCTTGACCTACCCCTAAGGTTAGCTTACCTTCATAGACATCAATTAAGGCTCTTACAGTTGCGAGGAAAGGTCGACCAATGATAAGTGATCCTTCTTTATCTTTGTCTATTTCAATAATAACAAACTCAACAGGAAAAATAAACTTACCTATTTTGACGAGCACATCCTCTACAATATCCCATCAATATTTAATCAATCGATCCGCTAGTTGTAGAGCCATCCTTGTAGGTTTGAGCTCACCCATTCCTAACATCTTGAAAACGATAAGTGATCCTTCTTTATCTTTGTCTATTTCAATAATAACAAACTCAACAGGAAAAATAAACTTACCTATTTTGACGAGCACATCCTCTACAATATCCCATCAATATTTAATCAATCGATCCGCTAGTTGTAGAGCCATCCTTGTAGGTTTGAGCTCACCCATTCCTAACATCTTGAAAACCTCATAGGATATAAGATTAATACTTGCACCTAAATCAGCCAAAGCTTTTTCAAAATCAAGATTTCTAATATTGCAAGGGATAGAAAAATTTCTTGGATCTTTTAACTTTGGAGGCAATTTATTTTGAATGATTGCACTACACTCCTCCGTTAACATTACTGTTCCTTGATCATCAATCTTGCTTTTCTTGCTTAGGATCTCCTTTGAGAATTTTGCATAACTGGGCATTTGAGCAAGAGCTTCAGCAAAAGGAATGTTCATTTGGAGCTTTTGAAGACATCAAGAAATTTGAGGAAGCTTTTATCATCTTTTGATTGCTTGAGCCTTTATGGAAAAGGGATAGTGGAACATAAGGCTTGACTTTCTCTTTCCTTCTAGATCAATGATGGGAATCTTCTTCTTTTCCTATTCTTGCTTATTTACTTCCTTCCTAGGTGGACATTTTAATTGCTTCCTAGTCCTGGAGGACTAGAAGCCATCATGTTAGAAATTTGTACCTTGAGGTCATCTTGAGGAGGAAAACCTAGTAGTGCATTCAACATATTGTTTAGATCCTATAACAAAGATTAAGATGATTCCGCAACCTGTTATCATAAGAATTAGAATATCGGTAATTCTTCCTTCCTTGATTCAGCACGTAGTTGATTTGCTCCAAAGTTTGCATATTGAGATTATCTAACACGCATTCCCCAACTCCATGCTGTCCATTACACCTGTCATATGATTGCACAATAGAATTAACAGAGTTAATGGTTAATAAATCTAATTTCTTTACCATATTGTCCACTTTGGCATTGAGTCCGGTGATGACATCAATCTCATAACTTCTTGCAAGCCTCTTCCTCTCGGAGGTATTTTGGTAATGTCTATTGCTCGCGATCTCTTCTATCAAATCATAAGCCTCATCAATCCCTTTTCTTTCAAAAGAACCTCCAGCAATAGCATCCAAAGTGATCTTTGTGTTATAGGACAATGCATTATAGAAAGTTTATACCTACAATCATTTGGGTAAATTATGGTGTGGACACTTCCTCAATAAATCCTTGAATCTCTCCCAACCCTCATACAGACTTTCTTGATCATGGTGAGCAAAAGTCATTATCTCATTATAAAGCTTTGAAGTCTTTGAAGATGGAAAGAATTTTGTCAAAAATTTGTGGGTTAATTCTTCCCAAGTTGTGAAACTTTTAATAGGGCATGATTGCAACTAAGAACATGCTTTATCCCTTAGAGTGAAGGGAAATAGTCTCAACCTTATCGCATCTTCAAAAACTCAGTTTTGCTTGAAAGTATCATAAATCTCCAGGAAATTTGTGATGTGGGCATTAGGATCTTCACTAGGCAAACCTTCATACTGAATTGAGGTGGATAGCATTTGAATAATTGCAAGCTTGATCTCAAAATTGTTAGCTTCCATCCTAAGCCTGGTGATACTTGAAGTGGCCACATTAAGAGAGGGGTTTGTGTAATCTTGCAAGGTGCAAACAGGAGGTTGGGGCCTTTGATTGAGTTGATATTGCAAGACTTGTTTTTCTTCTTGCACCAATAAATCATGTAATTCCACTTCGTTAGCCATGGTTGATTTTCTTCTTTGTTCATGTTCTCAACCTCTTCTTGCAGTGTTATTTCTTCGACAAGTCCTCTCAATTTTTGGATCAAAAATCAAAAGTCCAACGCCACAGGATCTCCTTTTCATAAAACACCTGAAACGTCTTGTAAAAGAAAAATTAAAGTAACAGAAAAATAAATGTTTAAATTAATAATAGGGTAATTAGTATTGATTTTGGTACCGCCAATCCTCGGCAACATTGCCAAAAACTTGACAGGCTAATTTGCAAGTGTACGAAATCGTAGACAAGTAATAAAGGGTGAGTAAAGTATCCTCCCACGAGAATTGTTTACCAAGTACCAAAATTGTGTTAACCTGCTATTGTTTAAACAATAATAAAAAAAATGATTGTAAAAATAAAAGTATTAATGTAAAATAATGAGAATGAGATAAAGGAGGAAATTGTTCAAAAGAAATCAAGGTTTTAAGGTTACTGGAGATTTTGACTTCACTTAATTCTATTCAGTTTATCCTATTATTTTGATAATCAATTTCAATTATTCTAGAAGAAGAAATAACCCTAAAATCGCTAATAAGCTCTCTCGATGTTTTATTAGCTATTTTAACCTTGCTTAATTATCCATCTCTCAATGGCGCAACCAAACTTAGATTAAATCATTAAGTTATTATGATTTTTCAGGAATCCACAAATTAATGCCTTTAATTTTATGAAAACCTCCCAGGAGTCAAACCATCTAACTTTCGCATAAATTTTTTATTCCCATGAAATTTATTACCCTGTTCGTATCAAAAATTCTTATCTCGACATTGATTAATGAAATAAATTAATTCATGGGAGAAACTCTGTCTGGAAGCATTAAGATTAATAATAAATTTTACTTGAATAAAGGAAATCAAATCTGATATTATAAACTGGAGTTGAATCTAAGCTACATCATATCTCTAGTAAAAAGATTTAGTTCGACATAGTAAATAGATTAAACTCAATTAAACTTTTAAATAATCCCATAATGAAAAATAAACAAGAAGAGAGTTTAGAAATAAAAAATAATGGACAATCAACATGGGTGGCTTCCTTGAATCTTAGCACCAGTTTGAATACTTGAAGTGTTAGAGAGAGAGAGAAACTACATAGAGAACAATAGAACCAAAGATAAAGATAACCTAGCTAGTTTATCTCTTTATATAGACTTCTTTGGAAAATCTTTGAATTCGTTGAGGAAAGTGAATTTTTATTTAGGAAGAAATCTTTTGGAGATAGAAAACTATTTTAGGCTTTGTATTTCTTCCATAATTAGGACTCTCGCAGCATCTAGATTGGATTTAAGCTTGATTAGGCACATCCCATGAGATTCTCTTGCAGATTCATGCAGGTACCATGGGCTAAAGCTAGAATTTTCAATCCAAGTTAAATTCTACAGATTAGCACAAATGTGCTGATTAGCATTTTTAGTCTGACCCTCATTTGATTTTGCCTTGTAAATAGCATGGGGGTGCTAGGTAGCATGCCCTGAGCGTGCTTCTTGCTGGAAGTCTTGGAAAAATCCTTTTTTTTTTTTTGTATTTTTGGCTATTTTCCTATAAAATTTCTACAAAATTCCTCAAGGTTAAGTGAAATACGTTAAACCATAGTTACCTACACCTCCAAATATGTTGGCAACAAATATAATTTAAATCCTACAATCCAATAAGTTTAAAACCATTTTTAGACATTAACTCCACTTCATCAATCAATGGGTTTTACCATGCATTACTTTGTGAACTAACTATTGCTTCACCATAATTAAGTGGATCTACCATTTGCCCAAAATCATAATCATTCTCCATAGACTAATATAATCATTAGATATCACAGATCTTCTTTGCCTATTTGATCATCTAACGGGTTCTTCTTCGATTTGTTGAGGTCCATGTTCCTTCACTTGAGGAACTTTCACCTGTTGGTTTCCTTCTAATTCTCTAACCTCAGGTTGATACACAATTTTTTCATGTACCAAATAGAAACACGATCATTTGATGGATTCAAAACTTTATCACTACAAGAATTCTCATCACAAACATCAAATTCTAGGAACTTAGCATTAATGGATTCAACAATTTTTATGCCACGATGAGGACAATAAAACCTACAACTTTTTGACCGATTTGGATAGCCTATGAAGTAATAACGAATGGTTTTGGGATCAATTTTTTTTTCTAAGGAATTATATATTTTAACCTCTACAGGACAACCCCAAACATGAAGATGATTAAGCCTAGGCTTACAACTGGTCCACAACTCAAAGGTGTTTTAGGAACAGATTTAGTGGGCAGAATATTTAATATATAAAGGGAAGTCTTAAGGGTGTCACCCTAAAGGAATTGAGGTGAATTGCTCCCAACCATCATGGATTTAACTATATCTATAAGAGTGTTGGGCAACATTCCCACACTGTTGTAAGTACTTAGCAAATGGTCCCATTTATTATCTTGTTTCCCCATGTTTCCAATAATACTCACCACCACGATCAGACCTCACAATCTTAATTCTTTTATCTAGTTAATTCTCAACTTCAATTTTAAAAATTTTAAACATATGAAGTGCCTCAGATTTTTCTAAATAAGGTATACATATCTAAAACGAGAAAAATCATCAATAAAGGTTATAAAATATGAATGACTAGACAAGGTGGAATACAAAGGAGCATAATATCAGTGTGAATAATTTCTAAAAGATTTTGACTATGAGTGGATCCCTTTCTTTTAGGCTTAGTAAGTTTCCCTCTAAAATAATCAATGCAATCTTCAAAATCTATTTTTCCAAGTGGAGGTAAAATATTATCTCTTACAAGTCTTTCAACTCTTTCTTTAGAAATATAACCAAAACGTTTATGCCACAACATGAAAGAATTTTTCCTTAATCAAAGGGCGTTTACAAATCGCTTTATCACCATGTATAGAAAAATTTTCAATTTGGGATAAAGACAATTTATAAAGATCATCACAAAGATATGCATGGCCCACAATAGAAGAATTAAAAGACACATCAATTTTTTCATATCAATAGATGCTCCAGTATCAATCCATCAAGAATTAAGAGGACCATTGACTAAATGGGATCCAAAACAAACGTAAGCAAAAGTTTTACTTTTCATATTTTTTGAGTGGATCTTATATTTTGTGCATTCATGTCTCCTATGATCCTTCTTCTTGCAAAACCAGCACTTCTTCATTCTTTACATTAGCTTTAAGACCAAGATTGTGAGACTGATCATATTTTTCTCTGGAACCTTTATTTTAGTTGCTAACCCCCCCCCCCCAACCAGCACTTCTTTCAATTCTTTACATTAGCCTTTAAGAAACCAAAGATTGTGAAGACTGATCATATTTTTCTCTGGAACCGCTATTTAATTACCCCCCCCCCCCCCTTCCCTTTTATAGATATTTTGTATTTTGGGTAGAAGGTTTAGGTTGGGAAACAACTAAAGAGAAGGTTTAGGTTGGGAAACAACTAAAGCGGTTGCTTCTTTCACCATGTTTTGAACACCTTTTTTCTTAAGTTGTTTTTCCTCTTCTTAAGAACATTTAGCTATAAGCTCGCTAATAGACCATTTTTCTTTTACAGCATTATAAGTAGTTTTTAGCAGACTAAATTAAGAGGGTAAAGTTTAAAAACTTAGTGAACAATGAACTCATCAGGGAGGATAATTTTCATGGCACTAAGTCATTTTTGGTAAGTAAGCATTTTATGGATGTACTATCTTAACCCACCTACCCCTTCATATTTCATACTCATAAGTTTCCCCATAAGCTCTCCAGATTCGGCCTTATCAGTTTCTAAGTGTAAATAATTGCCTATGGCATCAAAAAGAGTTTTAGCATTATCGCTATCAAGAACAGAAACCAAGATATGTTCAACAACAAACTTCTTAATAGCCATCACAGTAAGGCGATTATCTCTTATCCAAATCTTGTGGGTATTTTTTGCTTGGTAGTACTAGTTTCTGAAGGTACAGGAGGCTCATGCCCATACAAGGCAATGTCTAGATCACTCATTCCTAAAACAAATTCAATATCTAATTTCCATTATTTATAGTTGGCTCCAGTTAAAACCTCAATGCTAGTAGATTGGTTGTTGGTAGCAAAATTAACTGTTCAAGAGATTATCCCAACAAGTATAAGAGAAAAAAAAAATAATGGGCAATTTGAATGTAAAAATAAGCATAATTATAACAAGAGTCCATGAGTATGATTATAAAATCTCCTTTGGGTAGATAATATAACGTACGAATAGGTCTCTCCAATATTAGAGTAATATATATAGAAACATAGACTCCCAAGAAATAAAATATATCCCCTTTGGGTAGATATATTTTTAATCTATGAATTCTTCCTAATATTAAATTCCATTAAATCTTAATTTATTATATATACCAAATCTTAATTTATTATATATACCAATCCCCTTTGGGTGGATTAATATATATAAAAATCAGAAAAATTCTGTCTTACATACATCATGTAAATGAAAAAATTAATAAAATATATCCCCTTTGGGTAGATATAT